GGAAAGAGCTGTGCCCCCTTCCTCTCATGACTGGTTAATCGAGTCCCAGCAGTTATTTGCCATGACCTAAACTGGAAATAACAGCACTCATCAGCCATGCACCGCGTGTGGCTGCCAGATGATTCTCACTGCAATCTTCTTTCTGCAGAGACGTGCTGACGCCTGGCTGGCCGGTGCTTTGCAGAGGAGAGCCCACCAGGCCTTGAGCAGCAAAGCTGTAGCGTTTCGTTAGTACAAGAAACCAGTGTTGATCCATTTATGAATTTCAGGTGTTGACCCACACCCGGCTTGGGAACGGCAGGTGGATGACCCCCGAAAACATCCGGGAGATGTACACTGCAGTCAAGGCTGATCCTGATGGGAATGGTAAGAGCAGCTCTACGGGAATCCTTTCGCCCTCAGCACAGCCATGTGAGGCAGAGCAAGAGCCGTGTCCCTGCCCAGGCCTGTTTCTCCAGCTTTGTTCTTCAAAGGAAAATAACACTGCTTTAGAGACCTTGGCAGAAAAGTAAAATCAGTGTAAGCCTCTCACCGCAGCACTCCTGCCCCTCCATCACCAGCCTAGCAGCAGACCAGTTCCACCGCCTGGGCTTGGGTCTTGCGGAAGCAGGACCAGAACACAACTCTGCCCTCCCTCTCCCCTGTCAGACCTGCCTTGGTTCGTGCCCCGCTGTAACGGAACCTTCGAGGTGCGGTTCTGCTCCCGCGTTCTGAGAGACCGCTCTGGCTCTGAGTATGTAGCTCCTGTTAGCTGGGCTGCAGGTTTTAAGGTGCATCCCTCACTCCCTTCCTGTTTTCAGGGAGACTTCTGCATCCCTGGCAGGGGAGGGCGGAATAAGCAGAGGTGAGGGTGGTCTTGTTGGTCAGCCTTTGTTGCTGACCCCCCTCTCTGCTGCTGCAAACTCTCTGTATTCCATGAGGCCACTTCTGCCTCTCCTGCCCCTGGTCTCCCAAGGGCTCCTGCTGGTCCGGAATTGCACTCTAACCTCTGCTGCTCTAATTAGAGTGGCCTCAATTAAGCAACTCTCCGTTTCCTAATCAAATTAAGTGAATGCACAGGCTCTGCACGCTGTCTTCTAGTGACCTGGCATTGAGAGCTGCCCAGGAGGAGCTGCTTTGGAGTTGAAGCAGTACCCATGTGAATGCCTAAATATCCGGAGGGCACCCTGTGCCCCGCTCCTCCAAGCTGGTGGCATTCTTGGCAGGGGTAGGCGCGTATGACTGGGTCGTCAGTGGCTTTTCCACTCTTCCGGACATTAACAAATGAAAGGTCCTGTTACAATGCTCCTGGCAGGACCTTGCTTCCAGAGAGCTGCTTCCCTTGTTGTTAGATTGGTACGTGACACCGAGAGACCAGGTCACAACCTGGATGTGGCACTGCGTGGAGTAAGGGGAAGTGGGGACGGGGAGACTCTAGAAATAATAACGGTGGAGAATTTGGTCACTACCATTGGCACCTGAGGAACTGTCCGAGGCTGACCCTGGTGGCACGTCCTTCCTGCTGCCGGAGGGTCCTGTGTGCCCGGGGAGCAGAGCTGGCACCACAGCAGCACTGGGTTTGCTGCCTGAGCGAGCTCCACTCGCAGCCCGCCATGCGTGCTGGCTGCCAGGCAGCACACGGCAGTGCTCTGCACGCTCCGGTCCCAGTGACCAGGTCCCCAGTGTAAGTCTTCCTCCTTCTCCAGAAAGGCGAAAAAACAAATGCGAGGATTTTACTGAAGGTGACAAAAGCAAAAGTCCCTCCCTTGCTGAGTCTAGTTCAGTCGGAACAGGAAATTCTTGTTTTAGTAGAAACCGCTTTTTACCTCTTGTTTTTCTGTAATTTCTACTTACGCAAGATCATGCTCTTGTATTTCTCACTCATGCTTTGCAATTACACAAATGCAGAAGAACGTACCGCTTGTTGTTTTGGGTTTGGCTTTTTTAAATTACCCTGCAAGGTCTTGTAGAAAATGTGCTCTGAGGTGTCCCACTCTGCTCTTAAAGGTGCCTGTTTAAATATCTAAGTAACGAGTGCCAAGGCTTCAGGTGGGCACAGGCTTTTTAGCTGTGGCATTGCATATGTTAGAACTGTAACTTCTCTCTTTTGATGGATTGGTTTGCGTGTTTTAGGAACTTTTTAAAGTTCAAAATGGTATTTTGCCTGTCCCAGTTCTGACCCCACATGGCAGCTATTGTCGTGACAGGACAAGAGGGAATGGCCTTAAGCTGAAGGAGGGTAGATTTAGATTAGATATAAGAAATTCTTCCCTGTGAGGGTGGTGAGGCACTGGAACAAGTTGCCCAGAGAAGCTGTGGATGCCCCATCCCTGGCCGTGTTCAAGGCCAGGGTGGATGGGGCTTTGGGCAACCTGTGCCGGTGGAGGGTGTCCCTGCCCGTGGCAGGGGGGTTGGAACTAGGTGGGCTTTACAGTCCCTTCCAACCCAAACCGTTCTATGATTCTGTGATTCTAACAGTTCACTTTTGTAGGTTGCTGTATATCTGCTTTCGTCTGCTCAGCGAAAGGCAAGAGCGTAGCTGGGGTCTGCAACACAGCAGTAACGGGGTGCAGCCCGTGGTGGGCGCAGTGGTGGACCCTGAACGGTGTTTGGTTGAGGAAGGCAATTTCTGCAGTGCCCTCAGCTGGTGGTTTCCCTGAGTACAGGAGACCAAGAACTATTACCTGCACCAGTCAGCCAGCTTTTCCTTTCTTCCCGTAGGTGTGCTGAGCTTGGAGGAGTTCAAACAATTGAATATCCGTGATTTCCACAAGTACATGGGAAGCCAGAAAGTGAAGATGAGTGATTTGGTGCGCAACAGCCAGCACACCTGGCTGTACCAGGGCGAGGGGGCACACCAGGTCATGAGAGCCATACGGCAAAGGTAAGGGCTGGGCAGCCAGGCGGTTGGGTTTCTGTAGGCACGAGGACCACCTGTGCTGGGAGAGGCAGTGGCAGACTTGCTAATATTGACACTTCCTAATTGCGTGAAAGTCTTTGGAGTATAGAGAGCAATGAACGCAGACACGAAATGGGGAGAGGAGGTTTTCATTAGAACAAGAATTTGTATTGTCCCATGGAAAAAGAAAAATAAAAATCAAACCTTTCAGCATTTCCATTCACTTTTGGGAACAGCCCTATAAAACCAAGAAGACTTGGCTTTATATGAAATAATTCGCTCTAATTAGTTAATGAGCTTACTAGGAGAAACTGCCCATTTCCAACGCTGTCTGGGTGCCAGGAGTTACTGTCATTTGCTTTAGTTACTCATGCATTTCACTGAAATCTGTCTGAGCTGTTCAGAGCTGACTTTTTAACAAGCACAACTTCACCTCAAGTAAGCTGAGTTAGTTTAATCCTCCAAGCACACATATTGCAGTGCAGCTCACAGCAGATGGGAGAACCTCTTACCTTTCCCTTCGTCTCAGACTTGGTACTGGGAAGCGTTGAAACCCAGCACGCAGGCCAAATCGTTTAGCCGTGGTGAGTTTCAGATAATTGGCTGGAGACTCTCTTGTTCTTGTGGTGCTGGTCCTCGCCCAGAGCATGGGTGGGTAAAATCTGTCCCAAGGCTTGAAAACGGCTGTTGGCCACTCCTTTTCTTCAGTGCATTCCAGCGGGAGAATGAATGGGGTCGCATATTGCCTTGATTAGAGCAGACTGTGACTGCCACCTTCTCCGTGCCAGCTCGCCAGAGCGCACAGGCCTCGGCATACTGCTTTTACGCTCTTCACTTGGCCGCTGTTCCGAGGACGTGAAGATGTAGCGCTGCAGGAGGCTGTTACAGTCCTCCTTGGGACCGCGTGGTGCCTGGCGGGGCTTTGCCATCCTGCCTGGGTGCCGCGTTCCCCTTGCGCCTGCCCTGAGGGCTTCACCGGTCTGAATTCTCAGAGCTCTGAGTGTTCTTTGGCAGGTCTCGAGAGGTACCTGCTTGCCTTGGGGATGATCTCAGATGTAGCAGCGGAAAAATCCCAGAGCAGGAGGGCTCCGGTCTCCTTGATCACTTCCCGTGCCCCTCTGCCCTGGGGAGAGGCTGCTGAAAAGGCAACAGGGAAAGGTGAGTTAGGTGACAAGAATATTCCTAGAGCTAGTCTCTGGTTCACTCTCAGCAGGGGCCCTGTGCTTTGCTAACTGTCCCTGAGGTCTGTAGGTGGTGTGCAGGAGTCCAGAGAAGCGATGAGATGGCACATGAAGGCTCCAGGGACACACACAGAAGGGGTCTTGCTGAGCAAGCAAAGTCTTCCTGAGAGCAGTCCTGCTGGAGATGCACCCTGCTGGAGATGTTTTGGTTTTTTTTTTTAATTAACCTTGATGAGGACTTTCTGAGCTGATGCTAATGGTCCAACAGATCTGTAAGGACCCACTTGTCTCTTGGCATGCTTGCTGCAGCCCATCCGTCTCTCCGGTCCGTTGGGGAAGGGGGTTATCTTTCTCTGGATTTATTTGGTGCTTGGGAGTAGCAGCCAAGTGGGGTGACAGTGCTTTCCCCTCACCTGCTCTGCTCTCCTCTTCCCCAGGGTAATGCGCCTGACTCGCTTGCCCCCCGAGATTGTGGAGCACAGCGAGCCCCTCCAGGTTGTGCGGTACGACCAAGGAGGGCACTACCATGCCCACATGGACAGTGGCCCCGTCTTCCCCGAGACTGCCTGCAGCCACACCAAGCTGGTCGCCAATGAAAGCGCTCCCTTTGAGACCTCGTGCCGGTAAGGTCTGCCATGACACAATCTATCTGGAACGCGCTCGAGAAGGGCTGTGGAGAGCGTTTCACCTCCCCTCGCGTGGGACTCGGTGCTCAGGTTGTGGGCTCTGGAGATCACTGGAGTGAAAGGGTTTGAAGGGGGAGGCGGGCGGATGCTGTGGGTCCACACGGGGAGGGCAGAGTGGTTCTGCAGAGCTGCTGGGCCATCCATACCGGAGGCTGGAAACTCACCCTCACCGTTGCGGGTGGGGATTTTGTTGTCCTTGTCTTGTCCTTGGAGAAAAGCTGATGATGTAAGTCAAGCATCTTGTGATGTCTTGGAGGAACCGCTGTATGTGTGTGGAGGGGCAGGGTACGGACAGCCCCGCTGCGTCTTCTGTTCCACTTGTGTCCCCTGACAGCCGCTCTGTCCTGCAGGTATGTGACAGTGCTGTTCTACCTGAACAACGTGACTGGGGGAGGCGAAACAGTCTTTCCTATAGCTGATAACAGGACGTACGAAGAGATGGTAAATGAATCTCACCTACGTGTTACCCCTGGGGAATTTGAGTCCTTCTTTGAACGTCTTTATTCACTGTGGCTGCAGAAGTGGTCTGGGGTGTGAGGTTGGTGGATGTAAGCCTTCATAGCTAGAACGAGGGAAGCTGTGTCCCTCAGAAGCCAAGGGAAGAGGCGCAGGGCTTTGACAGCTGCAGCTCTGCTCGCCCAGAGGCGTGAGGAGTGATCTGTTGGCCTTGCTGCCATAACGCAGGTCCTGCTCGCTTGTGTCTGGGCAGGTTTCCTCAGACTAAGTCTTGGCAGGTATGTTGTGCTCCCATCGGGCAACGTGTTAAGGAATGGGTGGCTGCTCAGAAACAGGTTGTGGACCTCCAGGGGGCTGAAACTGGCTGCTCCGGGTGGGTTGTGAAAGCCTTCTGCTGCCCAGCATCAGCCTTCAGCTGTCCCCGTGGGGCGTTAAGGCAAAGGGCAGGATGATGGCTGGCAGCAGAGGCAGCCCAGTGCGTGCGCTTCGTTCCAGCCCCGTTTGCGACACCTTCTCTGTGGCTTCTTGCCAGTCTTTGATCCAGAACGACGTTGACCTGCGAGATACTCGGAAAAACTGCGACAAGGGCAATTTGCGAGTGAAACCTCAGCAAGGCACTGCTGTCTTCTGGTACAACTACCTGTCAGATGGAGAAGGTACAGGCTTGTTTCAAGACTCGGTTCTTGGGAAGGGTAGGACTGCAGGAGGTGACAGCCATCATCATCTTGCGGTGGCTGGGAGCTCAGAAGAGAGCCAAAGGGTGGTAGCTGCCTGCTAGTGGGAACTGTGGAGTCTGCTTGTCACCAGCTGGGGAGGAGCTTCGTGACTCTGAAAGGCCTTTGTTTGCAGGCAGTAGGTCAGTGGCTCCTGATGTCTTTGGGGGACGGGACTAGCTAGCAAACAAAGCCCTTGGCTGCACTAGCCATCGCCAGCTGCCTTCCACCCCACTGTGCGAGCTGAAACTCCTGCTGGAACTTGGTCTGCAATTCAGAATGTTTCACTGATGTGGTGTTGCCCAAAGGGGTGGGGAGGGGAGGTAGACAAAGGCACGGCCATCAGCTCTGCAGCACAGGGAGGCATGGCCCCCCTGCCCCGCAAAGCTCTGCCACGCTTGGGGCTGACTCCTGCGTTATAGCTCAGCTGCGGCCTGATGATATGTGTCCTTGAGGCTATTTTATCTCATGAAGCGCAGCGTGGTTTTCCCTGACAGCCAGGCTGGGGGATTGACCTGATTCTGCCAGGCTGATGGTGGGTACGACTCCAGAGTGTTTTGATGGCAGATTTTGAGCAGTGGTGGGAGGAAGGAGTATAGCATCCCAGGTCCCCTGGGGGCAGCCCGCGTTTCCATCTCTAGAAAATCCACAGAGGAGGTCACAAGACCAGTGTTTGGGCTGTTGGATGATAATATCAAGACCATCAGTCTCCTGTAAGAAGAGCCCTATTATGTTTTTATGAGCAAATTGTTCCGAAATGGAAGGCGGCTGCTGATGCAAGTCTGTCACAGAAAAACCATGGGACCTCTGTAAAGAGAGGATCATTGAGAACTGCTGAAACGCCATGTCTGCTATGGCAG